TTCACTACTCTGTTGTAAATATTTATACTTTAGTTTTGTGGCTTCCCTCCCTTTCTTTTCCTCCTCACTGATGTTATTTGAACTATGAGTCTTTCTAAAGGTTTCAGCTAACATTTCAGCTTTATCTTTATCTTTAATCATCGCTCCTTTATCTGTGTTCAACACTGGGTATACATATTCTTTCCTGATGCCATTCATTCTTTTAATCACTTTACAGATTTTATCAAGTTTAGTCTCTTCCCCAATAGTGTCACTGAATTTTCTCCAGTAGTTTCTTTTTGCCTCCTTTATTATCCTCCTTACCATCGCTTGTTCTCTTTTATAATCTATTAAATGTTGATAAATAGGATTCTTTTTAAGTATTTTAAAGGCTTTATTTCTTGACTTGATTGCATTATTACATTCGTTTGTCCACCACGGTACTATTTTTCTTTCTTTCCTTCACTGAATGTTCTATTGCCTCTAGAATAACCCTACAAATATTTGAATTTATATTATTTACATCTGCTGTCATGTCAATTTTTTGTAATTCTTGTTCACTGATATAATTAAATTTATTCCCCTCTGCTTTGCTGCTTTCTGGTTTTATTTGTATTTTAATCTTAATTGGGTAATGATCGCTTCCATTTGTTGTATTCTTGTCAATATCCCATTCACAACTGCCAGCCAGTGAGTTTGATACTAGTGTTAAATCAATTGCTGATTCTTCTCCTGTTCTAACGTTCATTCTGGTTCCTCTTCCATCATTAAGACACACTAGGTTTTTTAATTCCATCAATTCTTCAATTTCTTGACCATTTTTATCATTACTTTTACCCCAGAGTGTACTATGAGCATTGAAATCCCCACACCAGATTACCTTTCCTTCTAAATATCCCATTATTTCTTCCATTGATTCAATTGTTATATTTTTACAAGGATTATAGAAATTATTTTATATTTTCCATCTTTGTCCCATATTTCCACCACTATATATTCTAAATCTACTCCTTTTATTATTTGATATTGTGTTCCTTGTTTTATAAATATTGCACACCCTCCTCCATTTCCCTCTTGCCGATCCCTTCTGATGCCATCATACCCTTTAATTACAAATTCTAATGTTGCTTTTAACCATGTTTCCTGAGTACATATTATTTCTGGTTTTTCTTCTAATTTTTCAATATATCCCTTAAATTCTTGTCCATTTGCAATAAGACTTCTGGCATTCCATTGTAGTTGTAGGAATAGCACTTGCTGCAGTCCCAAGATGGCCGCTGATCACCCACAGCTGACGGTCGTCTACCTGATGAGCCTCCACACTACTTAAGGCTGCAGTCAAGCTCTACTCCTCGCTGGAGCATTGATTCCTCCTTGGGTATTTATGCTTCTAGCCAGTAATGCTAAAATTAAGAAAAGAAAACTTACCTTGTTTTTGTGTGCCTACAGCCGACCTATTGTTTGGATCCATCCCTGCTTCGCTTTTGTTCCTGCATCTCGTTCCCTGCGCTCTTGCCCTCCAGCCACTTGCCTGCCTCGTACTGCCTGTAGGATTGGACCCCTCTGGAAACCCTGGACTCCACACTGAGTAACTCTACAAATCCACCTGTAAGAAAGAAACAAGACTTCACAATCAATTCCTGTACTACCTCCGTGCCTGACCATCCTGACTATGCCTTTGCTCTTCCAGGGGTTCCAGCCAACCTACATGTATATATGTAAATAAGATTTCACTGTAAATAAATTCACTGTACACTTTTTGAATCTTGTGTCGTTTTGGTTCTCGTATCATCTGGGTACCTTGAGTCACAACAGTAGTATTAACATCTGGGTTTATCGCCCAGTGTTACCGGTCTCCCATCTATTTCCAGCCCTTTGTTTATGTTTTTCCAAGACGCCTCTTTGACTCCCAGAAACTTTTCTGCCCCCCTTGCTATTATTTTAATCTTCTCTGTTCTGTGCTTAGCCTGATCTGTGCAGTTGATGACACATGCTATGAATAAAATGAGTTTTTCTACTGACAGTGTGATGTTTTCCTCTGTTTGCAGTTTGGTTTGTTGTGGAACTTGATTCTCTGACTGGTCTGCTTCTCTTTTCTTTTGTCCCTGAACACTCCTGACTGCTTCAGCGTAGCTAATATTTTTAGTCATTTTGATTTGTTGTATTTCTACTGCTCTCTTTCTCACCTCACATTTTCCAGAGTTAGCTCTATGTTGACCCCCACAGTTACAGCACTTTTCTTGTTTGTCCTCTCTGCATTCTTCTATCCTGTGCTCCTCTCCACATTTAGGACACCTCTGCTTGCCTTTACACACCGCTG